CCCTCCCCCATACCTCGAACACCCTTTTCTCTTTTCTTCCCGTGCTCTCTCCCTCACCTCTCTACAATTCTCACTCTCGAACACTCTCATCTCCTCTCATCTCCCGAGCAACACCCACACAACACCACACCTTCATCACCACCTCTTGGAAGTCACAACGACCACCTATCATCGGTTAGGCACCCAACTTCCTTCCCCTTGCTCGACATTATGCACAGTCACTGTGCTCGAATCCTTTCCTTTAAGTTTCGCTGTCCACGACTAAGGTAAGCATCCTAGAACCCCTTAGATCATGTTTTAGGTTAGATTAGGTTGATTTACGTTTGAACGCAGAAGCACCTCGGGAGGAACACTTTCCAGTTTTCCGACGAGGACAACTACGGTTACAGGCGTTTTCTGACCAACTCCGCCCACGGTCGAGAAAACCAAAGGTATATCCCCATTCCTTGTTCTTTGGGCTTCAATTTGGTACATTGAATGGATGAAGGTAATGGAGAGCCCGAAACTTATGAGGAGGCTAGAGCTCATAACGACAGTGATAAATGGATGAAGGTAATGGAGTCAGAGATGGATTCCTTATTAAAGAATTATACCTATGAGCTGGTGGAGCTTCCAAAGGGCAGAAAAGCATTGAAAAACAAATGGGTATTCAAATTGAAAAGAGACGACAACACGACAAGGTACAAGGCTCGTTTGGTTGTCAAAGGTTTTGGTCAAAAGAAAGGAGTTGACTTTGATGAGATTTTCTCACCGGTGGTGAAGATGACTTCCATTCGAGTTATCCTTGGTATGGCAGCAAGCATGGATCTTGAGCTCGAGCAGTTAGATGTTAAAACTGCATTTCTCCACGGCAATTTAGAAGAGGAGATATACATGGAGCAACCCAAAGGCTTTGAAGTCAAAGGTAAAGAAAATTTGGTGTGCAAGCTCAAGAAAAGCTTATATGGTCTTAAGCAGGCTCCGAGACAGTGGAATAAAAAGTTCAACTCATTCATGGTGAGTAATGGGTACAAGAGAACTCATGCTGACTCTTGTGTCCATATCAAACAATTTTCTGGAGGTAAATTCATCATTTTATTGCTTTATGTTGATGACATGTTGATTGTCGGTCAAGATGCTTCTATGATTAAAAAGCTCAAAAAAGAGTTATCTAAGTCCTTTGACATGAAGGACTTAGGGCCAGCCAAGCAAATTTTGGGCATGGAGATAATTCGTGACAGAAAATCCAAGAAGTTATGGCTGTCACAAGAAAAGTATGTTGAACGGGTGCTTGAAAGGTTCAACATGAAAGCAGCCAAATCGGTAAGCTCACATTTAGCCAATCATATCAAGTTGAGCAAAGAGTCATGTCCAAAAACATATGAAGAAAAAGAGAAAATGGCAGTTGTTCCCTACTCTTCAGCAGTAGGAAGTATCATTTATGCAATGGTGTGCACACGGCCAGATATTGCTCATGCAGTAGGTGTGGTGAGCAGGTTTCTCTCTAATCCAGGGAAGGACCACTGGGAAACTGTTAAGTGGATTCTCAGATATTTGAAGGGAACATCTAAGATGTGCTTGTGCTTTGGCGGTTCCAAACCAATCTTGGAAGGATTTACAGATGCTGACATGGGAGGTGACCTGGATGGTAGAAAATTTACGTCTGGGTACTTGTTTACTTTTACAGGGGGAGCCGTGTCTTGGCAATCCAAGTTGCAAAAGTGTGTTGCTTTGTCCACAACCGAGGTTGAATACATAGCCGCTACAGAAGCATGCAAAGAGTTGTTGTGGTTGAAACGGTTTCTCCAAAAGCTGGGTTTGAAGCAAAGTGATTATGGCGTTTATTGTGATAGTCAGAGTGCTCTGGATTTGAGCAAGAACACTGCATATCATTCATGCACTAAGCACATTGATATTCGTTATCACTGGATTAGAGATGCTATCGAGAACAAGTTGCTACAGCTGAAGAAGATTCATACCGATAACAATTCTTCAGACATGTTGACAAAGGTAGTCACAAAATCAAAGTTGGAATTCTGCATTAAGGCTGCTGGGATGGACTCCAGGTAACTTGGAGTCATGATCGGAATTCCTCCCTCATGGACTGGAAGGGGAGATTGTTGGTATATGGTCCAGCCCATGATCAATGTTCTAGATTATTCTAGTAAGCAAGAGAAGTGGCTGGAGCATGCTAGACAATTCTAGCATGTTATTAAGTTGATGGAAGAAGCTAGAGAGTACTAGCTTCCTTGGTTGCAAATGGAAAGATCTAGAAGCTACAATTATGTGGCTAGTCTAGAATTTTCTATACTAGAGGTTTGAAGAAGGAACTAGAAACTAGTAGAATGCCAAGCCCTTACCTATAAATATGGGTGTGATGTAACTAATTACGAACCACGTGTGAGTAGCAAAGGATCAAGTCCAAAGCTAGAGTTCCACTCCAAGAGTGAGAGTGAGAGTGTTCCACTACACATTGTGAGTAAAGTTTAGAGTGATAAAAAGTGTATGTCATACTTTCTTGTATCCATCAAGCCTTGTCTTTGGCTTGGTAAGACTATTCTTGTTGTACTCATCTTTTTCATATAGTGAAGATTGATCCTTGTCTTGTGGACGTAGGCATAAATTGCCGAACCACATAAATTCTTGGTGTCCATTTTCTACTTTACCTTGTGCATTCTCTATCTTGTAGTACCGACATTCCTTTTCTCTATCTTGTAGTACCGACATTCCTAACATGAAGCACCTGAAACTGATTACGTGAGGCAGCAATTCGAACTGCTGCGCAGATTCATACGAGCGAGGCTGCCGGAGATATACTCGTTTTCCTCCCCAAAGAGGACGAGATAGAAAACGTGTGCTGCAAAATTAACCAAGCAATTGCAATTGCTTCTGCCAAGTTTCAGGTATCTGCACCTGTCAAAATCCTGCCTCTGTATTCGGAAACTCTTGGTCTTGCGCCATCGGTTCAAAAACAAGTGTTCGATCAAATTCCTGAGAGTAAGATTGTCGTCTCAACAGACATTGCAGAAACCTCTCTAACCGTACCTGGAATTGTTTATGTTATCGACACGGGATTGGTTGCACATAAAGTATATAGCCCACAGTCCCCCCCTGTCCCTGTTGAATCTTTGTTGGTGTCTCCAATTTCAAGGCCAAGTGCCGCTCTGAGGTATGAACGTGCCGGGGGAACCCGGCCCGGGAAATGTTTCAGACTTTACACTGAGAATAGTTTCCGCAACCATCTTCAAAGACGCACAGACAGAAATTTGTAGGTCGAAATTTGCTTCGGCAGCTCTTACTTTGAGGAAAATAGTTATCACGGATCTGATGCTAGTTGATTTTGTGGAGACTCCTCATCCCGAGCGAATGATGGAAGAGGTAGAGATCTTGAAGCGTCTGGGAGCAATGGATGACGAATACCGCTGGACCAAGCTGGGGGAGATTATGAGCGAGTTCCCCTTAGATCCTCAGCTGTCGAAGATGCTTATTGTTAGCCCTCAACTCAATTGCTCAAATGAGATTTTGTCCATTTGTGCCATGCTTTCAGTACCGTTGAGTCCCTTTGTTCAGCCTCGGGAGGAGGCTCAAAAATCGGCTGCGCTGCTGAGAAAAGCAAGGTTTATCCATGTCGATGGAGATCACCTCACGCTGCTGAATGTGTATCGTGCTGACAAGGAAAACAACGAGGATCCATCCTGGTGCGAGCTCAACTTTGTCAATCACGCAGCATTGAAGGCTGCAGACAACATGAGGCGGCAGTTAGCGAGCATTATGGCTCGTTGTGATCTCAAGTTATTTAGCATTAGTACTACTAGTCCTGACTACTCTGTCAACATCAAGAGGGCCATGTTAGCCGGATATTCGTTTCAGGTAGCTCACCTACAATGCACATCCGGCAGTGGTTCCGGGCACTATCTGACAGGAGCCATGGATAAGGTACACTTGCATCCCTCCAGTTGCTTGGGTCACAAGGCAGAGTGGGTGATTTTCAATGACTGTTGCGTTGTGGAAACCAAGAAGTTTGTCCGCACAGTGACCCAGATTCCCGGTGAATGGCTCGTTGCTGGTGTACAGAACCTGGCCGGTTCTGAAGTTTTTTAGTTTGTAAAATGTTATTTGTTCTGTGTTTTATCTTTTATTTTTTGTTCAGTTGTGACTGTTTTGTTAGTATCTATTTTCTTGTTTCAATAAAAACAATCACTTGCTATGCATCATATTAGAACTTGGCTTCAGAGTCACAGACTTCCTAAGTATTTTGAAATATTATTTGGTAGCATTCGTATTATCCGAGCTGCCAAACAAGACCTAAAGGTATATGAAAGTAAGGGTACATATTTACGTGTCTCAGATGACAAGATAATAGCAATAAAACATTTGATATCGCCAACACATCACATGTATATTAATTTTGTGTCTAAATAGTATTACTCATAATGATTTAACCCCGAACTTAAAAATATGACATAAAAGTGAGTCAAAGAATCAAATATATATATATATATTGTATTATGTGTCTAAATAGTATCTATTTTCTTGTTTCAATAAAAACAATCACTTGCTATGCATCATATTAGAACATGGCTTCAGAGTCACAGACTTCCTAAGTATTTTGAAATATTATTTGGTAGCATTCGTGTTATCCGACCTACCAAACGAGACCTAAAGGTATATGGGAGTAAAGGTACTATATAACATATTTACCTGACTCATATGACAAGATTGTAGCAATAAAACATTTGATATCGCTAACACATCTTATAATACATGTATATTAATTTTACGTATCTAAATGGTATTACTTAGAATGATTTAACCCCGGACTTAAAAATATGACATAAAAGTAAGTCAAATTATCCAATATATACTGGTGAATGGTGATGAGGAATAGAATGGACAGTGAGTTGTGAATTTAAGTCCTTCATGTGTCTCTTGCGCCCTTCCCTTGCATTAAACTCCTTATACCACTGCAATTCCATCCACCTCTCAAAACCACCACCCTTTCACATCGCTCTCTCCAAAAAATGACCAAGAGCTCTCACTCTTCTTTTTCGTTTCCCTCCTCCACTTCCGGCCTCCTGCGGCTTCTTCTCATGGCGGCGGTCATCCTCTCCCTACTTTTTGTCACATCCGCTGCCACACCCATCTCTAACCCAACCAATGCTACTCCAAGAAACCCCCACCGCCTCCATAGTCAAGAAACCCACCACCACCGTGAATGCGATCATCAGACTTCAGCTTCGGAATCGTCGAGCGCACAATTACGTTCCTTGTGCCTTCAACTCACCCACCACAGAATATTCCACGCCAGCCTTCCCCTCTCGCCGCTGCCACCGGTATCCCCGTCCGGCCCCTCGCAGCCGGCTCCTGGCGACCGTCAAGATGGTCACGAGATTGATCCAAGATACGGTGTGGAGAAGAGATTAGTCCCCTCCGGTCCCAACCCTCTTCACAATTGAAAGTCCAGTCCATTACCTCATCAAATCACCCTGCACCCCAAGTAACGTCCTCATCAAAACAAATTTCTGAATTTTGTACCATGAATATATTATATTTATCGTTCTTGATCGGTTCTTGAGCGTTTCTTGGCATCTCTCATCACCAAAGTCCTTCTTGCCCTGCTCGTTCCGTCTTCCGGCTGAAGTGATATGAACGACGATCATGCACGGGGTAACATTACTATCGAGGAGCTAGCTAGTTCTTGAATTAACTCCTTCTCTTATTATAATTAAGTGAACTATAGTTTCTATATATTTTTTCTTAATTACTTACTACTGGATCGTTCGCGTGCCATGAATACACTATTTCCATGCTTGTTTTTTAACATAGCATCACCACCTTAATTTTGTTTAGTATAGTTAAGTCGATTTAATTAGTACGTAATTAAAGTCACGAGACAAGTTTTTGTGGAAGCGGCAAAAACGAGCATGGAAATGGGTCCTCAAATTTTCTTGAATTGATGTTCTTCGCGGGATCATGCAACTCAAAAGAAGCCCATGAATGTCATAAATATATTTTGGATCTACAGCTTCTTCTTTTTTCTGAGGTCAAAGTGGACTTGTACCATGTGGGTCCGAATTTAAAGTCTTCGGGTATGTATAGTCAGTTGAAGCTTCTGTAGCTATGAAATATATGAATGAATTTAATTTAGATTTCAGGTTTTCAATTTTTGCCTTCACTTCATGTTCATAAATGTTCCATGATATATAACATGTTTCATGTCACAATTGAGTGGAAATTTTTAGTGTGCGGGAACACGGCTCGATGCACAAGTGTTAAAATCAGCTAATTGTATTATTACATTTAGTGTACTAGACCATTTCTAATACACTCGAAAATTTATTACAATTGAGGTGACGTACTTGAAATTAATTTCCTAAATTTGTCAACCAAGAGAATAGCATCTCCCATTCCCATATAAGGTGAGGTGAATCCCGTGACACAATTGGTCTTTTGGTTAATGAATGTGTTTCCCATGATATTCATGTCATAACAAAGTCCTATATTTCATACATCTCTCGCTTTCCTCGTATACTAAGGTGAATTATAAATTGCATATATCATGAAGGTGCATTTAATAACGAAACGCGTTATTGGGTGTAAACAAAAATATTCAAACGATACCTTACAAGGTCGTGGAGTAAATTGACTAACACATCTTTACTTTTTTGAACAACGCCAAGGATAAAATCGAGTTCTTGTTAGAGATGTATTAGCAGAAGACAATGCTCTATCCTTGAGATTAAAATGTTATTTCGAAAAATTAAGAATAATAAAGTTTTAGAAGACAAAGAAGAATCAAAAGATGCATGAAATTTATAACTCAGTTGATTAAAATTATTTATATTTTTTTGAAATTTGAATTCGAAGTCTCGTTGCTCAATACTGCTCTAGTAATATTGAAAAGAGAAAAATGAAAGGCCCAAAAACGGCCCATGAGTACACCCGTAGATAACTAAACTAGACCGGGCTCAAAAGAAAAACCCGGGAGGAGGCCCAAAGAAAACAAACCCGGAGGAGGCCCGACCAATAGAAATGAAGGAAATTGGTTGTATTCAATTGAGATTGTGAGAGATTTTAATTCTTTTAATGAATTAAGGGGTATTCAATCAAGATTTTAAGTGATTATCTAAAATTCAGGGTGTATTTAATTAGAATTTTAAGATAGTTTATTAAAATTCTTAGAAATCCGGATGTATTCAATTAGAATTTTAAAGAAGTTTATAACATTTTCAGTGTATTCAATTATAAATTGATTTTAAAGAATTTAAGAAAATTGAGGAATTAAAGGGAATTTGAGAGATTTCGTAGTGTATTTTAAGTATCTACAAATCTCATCTCTTCCCATGACATTTCGAGATAATTGAATCAAAATTTTATATGAAATTTACAAATCAATTAAACCCAATAAAAATCCATGAATTTATAAATCCATTAAAGTCTCTTAAATTCTCAATTGAATTCACCCCTAAATTAAATTAAAAAATTAAGAAAAAAGGTCACCGACGGACGAAAGCAGAGTTGCAATTCCGCGTTTGGCAGAAGAAGACTTTGGAGAGATTGAAGAAGCTCAAGTGAAATCACTAATCTCTCAGCTAATTACTTAACAAATCATAATTAAGTGCAGAGGTTTATATCTAATCAGATAATTAAATGCCACTTGCTTAATCCGAGTTGAAACTGTGTGTGAGTGAAGAAGTCCGAGATCAGAGATTCCGAAATTCTCTTTTGGAGATGACAATGGCGCTTCGTCTTCCAATTGCCGCGTTTTCTCTGGTGCTCCTCCTCCTCCTCGTCTTCCCTCCGCTGCTTCTCGACGCTAAAACCCTCAAACGCGACAGTAAGTCCTCCCGCCTCTCTCTCCCTCTCTGCGATTGTGATTTGGGAGTTAATGGTAATTGGTGGTTTCTTTGGGCAGTGAAAGCACTGAACGAGATCAAGGCGTCGCTGGGTTGGAGAGTGGTGTACGCCTGGGTCGGAGACGATCCGTGCGGAGACGGCGACCTTCCGCCGTGGTCCGGCGTCACTTGCTCCACTCAAGGGGATTACCGAGTCGTCACCGAATTGTAAGAACATCACTTCTTCCACGTTCCATTCCATGCGATCCGATGTCCCGGAGTTTTTGGTTTTAACCGAAGATTGTGCATTTATGTGTTGTTTTTGGTTTGGAAATTTGCAGGGAGGTTTATGCAGTCTCAATTGTTGGGCCTTTTCCTACTGCCGTCACCAATCTCTTGGATCTCACTAGGCTGTAAGACCAAGACCACCATCTCTTCAATCTGCTGTTCTTTAATTTCTTAGCAATTATCACAATTGATACAAATTGACGTTTCAAAATCTTTAATTTATAAGCTGCAAATACATCATTAATAACCCATAAGTTGTTTCTTAGTTTTTGTCAACACTCAAAACTTGATCTTTGTTTTAAAAAATCTGCTATATATGTATGGGACTGTGTCTGTGTCACAGGGATCTCCATAACAACAAGCTGACCGGCCCAATTCCTCCGCAAATCGGACGTTTGAAGCGTCTCAAAATGCTGTACACCCCCCTTCTATTTCTTTTTGTTTAAGATTAATTTGGTTTCTATTGAACATCTATGATTAGATTTCTAATTCTTTACTAATTATCGTTGCTTCTCAGTAATTTGAGATGGAATAAGCTACAAGATGTCATTCCTCCTGAAATTGGTGAACTCAAGAGTTTGACCCATTTGTGAGTGAATTTTGATTCTTTCTTTCGCAATGTCTTTGAATTTTCTTGTTTGGACTACTAATTCACCGTGATTTACTTATTCACTATTTTTTTATCAACTAATCGTTCTGCAGGCATCTAAGCTTTAATAGTTTTAAGGGGGAAATCCCGAAGGAGCTTGCTAATCTTCCTGAGCTTCGTTATCTCTATCTGCAAGAAAATCGCCTTGTTGGGAGGATTCCTCCAGAACTAGGAACTCTGCAAAATCTTCGGCATTTGTATGTTTACATAAGTCTTCACATGTTGTTAATGATAATGCATCTGTATCTGGTTACTAACGTGTGTGCCGTTGTGATGCTATTTGTTCATAGGGATGTTGGTAACAATCATTTGGTGGGTACTATTAGGGAACTCATACGTATTGAGGGCTGCTTTCCAGCTTTGCGTAACCTGTAAGTTAATCCAAGTTGGTGAATACATAATTACTTTTACCTCTAGTATAAATGACATGAAAGATTAAGTGATTGTTTTTGAAACTGGGATGTGCAGTTACCTAAACAACAACTACCTTACGGGTGGGATTCCAACACAGCTCGCCAACTTGACCAAATTGGAAATCTTGTATCTCTCTCTCTCTCTCTCTCTCTCTCGGTCTTTCTTTCTTTCTTTTTCTCATTGGAAATCTTGTATGTCTCCTTTGAAGTTTTGCTTCTGAACTCTTGAGTTACTATCATCATCGAGGATGGATTTTATTATGTATTTACCGGAGAAGAAGTTTGTTGGGTTAATTCTTTTGATTGGTTACAGGTACCTATCTTACAACAAGATGTCTGGGATTGTTCCATTAGGACTTTCCCATATTCCGAGATTGACTTACTTGTGAGTTTCTTCTTATGATATTTATTCTCTTTGCATTTGTGCTATACTAGTTGGTGTCGAAACTTTCATCGAGGAGTTGCCTCCTCTTTCTTTATCCCAATATTCAACTTGAATCTAGACTCTTGCGATACCAGCGAACTTAATATCATTATTATAGCAAACCTTGGGCTAACTGAACAACCTTGACAAAGGATCTACCCTTACATAAGATTGAGGAATGAATATGTAATTTCTTTCATTTCTGATCGAGATTTTTGTTTTATCGATTTTAGGTACTTGGATCACAATCAATTTTCTGGGAGAATTCCCGATGCCTTCTACAAACACCCATTTTTGAAAGACATGTAAGCTTCTGCCTGGAACTCGGAAACTTTTAATTCCTGAACTTATGTAGCAAATTATTTGATATCTTGGTTGCATGTTCATCACAGGTATATTGAGGGGAATGCATTCCGACCAGGCGTAAAACCAATAGGCATACACAAAGTTCTCGAGCTCACCGACACGGAATTTCTCGTTTAGTCAAAAGACATCGAACTTTTATTTATTTGTTTTAACCAATTGTGCTTAGTACTGCCCAAACAAGGGTTCATATGGTCTCTGAATTAATGAAATAGAAATCTGTATCGACGAAGTTTTGCCGTGACTGATGAGTTCCTATGTCGCTAACTCCCCAAGGAGTTGCTTATATGGTAAATCCAAGTACTTTGATTTAAGTCTGGTCAACTAGAAACAAATATTGATCGCTGCCTGAAAAATCCAAGTGCTTTTTTATGGTCTCCAAAACTAGTTGAATTTCATCCATTTTCGGGTGAGTTTTCTCCCCGGCAATGAATTCATGAACTGCCCTATTGATCTCGACCGAGCTGCAACCCGGAGCCTTCTCTACTCCCCTGTTTCTCATCAAATTCCTGATTCTTCTGGCATCACCGTGCTTCCCCGAAGCTGCGTATAAATTCGAGAGCAAGACATAGACCCCACTATGCCGTTCCAGCTGAAAGAGCTTCTCCGCAGCAACCTCAGCTAGTTGAGCTTGTCCATGATTGCAACAAGCACTGAGAAATGCTCTCCAAGCCACCGCTTCTTCCGAGGGTTTACTTGAAGTGGGTATTCTTGCAATTATCTCCTTTGCTTCTTCGAAGAGCCCAGCGCGGCTTAGAAGGTCAACAAAACATCCAAAGTGTTCGCTTTTCGGCTCAATGTTGTATATCCTACACATTTTATCAAACACCTTCATTCCTTCATCTGCCATGCCGGAATAACTGCAAGCAGTAAACAAAGCAATGAAAGTAACATCATCTGGCCTAACCCTAGCAGCCTCCATCTCTCTAAACAGTTCAAGTGCACCTTCGCCATCTCCATGCATTGCCATTCCCGAAATCATCGCATTCCAGCAAACCGTGTCTCGTTGCAGCATTTCATCAAACAGTCCTCTAGCCAACTCCAATCTCCCACATTTAGCATACATGTCGATAAGACCAGTGCTCAAACGAACACTCAACCGCAACCGAAGCCGATTCAAATACGAGTGAATCCAAATCCCAGTATCCAGAGCTCCCAAATGAGCACACGCACATAAAATACTCACAAAAATTGCCTCATCAGGTTCTATATCCGTAAACTGCATCAACCGGAACAAATAGAGACCTTCCTTGAAACAACTATTCTGCACATACCCAGAAATCATGGCACCCCATATTCCTCTGTCCCTCACCGGAGCTTCATCAAAGAACAATCTCGCCATGTTAAGATCGCCCACCTTTGCAAACCCAGAAATCATGACCGTCCATGAAACTACACTTAAGCTAGGCATTTCGTCGAACACGTACCGTGCACCCTTCATATCATCAGACGCACAGTACATAACCACCAGAGAATTACCCACAAAGATATCAGAAACAAAACCCAATTTCAAACAGAGCCCATGAACCAATTCCCCAAGACAAGACCTTTGCATCCTCGCACAAGCCTTTACCAAATAAGGGAGGGTATAATTATCTGGGCACATCCCGTTCTGCAACATCTTGGTAAACACATGGACGGTCAGGATGAGTTCATTTCTGAGCAGTGAAGATTTCAACATTGTGTTGTAGATGCAGACTGTGGGCTGTGGGATGTGTTGGAAGAGCTTCCAAGCATGGGAGAGGCTTCCATGGCGTGGGTCCGAGCAGAAGGCCAAGAGCCTGCTCAAAGCAAAGCTGTTGCTGCCGAGCCCAGATGTGAAGACTTGGGCGTGAGCCTGCTGCAAGTGCTTCATGTTCTTGCATTTCTCTAGCAGTTGGAGACATCTGCTGGTGGTGCTGCTGCTGCTGTATAATGCCATGGGCACCCGACACCTTCATGTTCAATTGATGGGAATGGAAGTGGGAAAGAATGATGTATTGGTAGATTTCGAAAGCCCATATGTGTTAGTTTGATCGGTTTTAATAAAAACGTTTCGGCTAAGGGTATCAGCAGGAATGCTTTCATAGCTCAGTTGGTTAGAGCACCCGTTTAGTAAGCGGGAGGTCTTGAGTTCAACTCTCAATGAAAGCATCTTTCTATGTTTTTTATTTCATTATTTTTAGCCGAGAATGTTGAAGTGAGAATCAAAGGAGTGACTTTCCATTGGGGAAGGTTGGCATTTCTAATCTAGTATGTATCGTCTTTTTCTCGGTTAAATATTGTTTAGTTCCTTATAGTTAACGAGTTATTTCTCAATATTTCTGATTTAGATATAACACTTGTTCATAAACTTCTTAAAAGCATAAAAGAAAAAGCTAATGCACGCGTTTCAAATTATGACTGATTTTGTTGTTTCTTCTACTTTTACTCATTTATCTTCTTTTGGAATATTAAGTACTTTATTCGAAATATAAAGATTTGCAAAATTGTTTCATGGAATTTTTTCTTTTAGAATTCTGAAAGCTAAGAATCATTGAAAAGAAGCAATACTTTCCTTCACCAGAAGGCCCTAACTTGCGTGCAAAGTAAGCCTACTAACTAGCCTACTAACTAGCTTTCTACAAGCTCTCATCTTCTCTACTTTATCCTTCAAACAAACACCAGACTATGAGCACCAAACCCTTATTCACAGAGAAGCAAATTCCGAGTTCGTTTCGTCTGAAAGAATGGAGCCTTTCGTTAACCAAATGAGGTAATTCGGCCCTTAACCCCGAAAATATTCGACCTTGATTATGTAATTATGATTACTAATCACTATTGTTAGGGTGAGATTTTCCGGTGCAGGACAAGAGAAGACTGAAGAGTCAGGCAGCGTCTACGGCCGAAGAATACCGCCGCAGAAAACTGAGTCTTTCAAAGGTAATATATGGCTCTTTGTCTCTGCATAATATACAAAATGGTTTGGTGAGGGAACAAATTTTGTTAGTGGTTTAAGCTATTTCTTGCAGAGAAAAGGAAGACCCAGAACTGGTTCCAGAGACAGCTCTCGGGAAAAACGAGTCAGGATTATGATGCTAGCAATGCAATGAAGCATGCAACTGCGGTGGGAGCTGCTGCATTGGCCGTTAAATCAATCGAAGATTCGGCCATCTCTGATAAGAAAAGGACGGGCTATGAGCGCAAACCAACTTTGGAGAGGATCAAGAGCGGAAGGGAAGAAACAACAATTTCAAAGCCGGAATCTGGAAGATTTTCCAAAATATTCTCAGGTAAAAGTATCTTATACGCATAACATTGTTAACGACCCTAAACACTGAGTTTCCAGCATTCAAACTAGAACCAAGAAGATGTTCTGTATTAGGTGGAGGTTCGACGAAAAGGACTCCAGAACGAGAAGATCCGCATGGCAAGGCACCAATAAGCATTGCCACAACCAGGAAGAACCCCGAAAAGGCCGTCCTTCCTGCCCCATCTATCAAGAAAACTCCAACTTTTGCTGATAAACAGTCAAACAGCGCTGGTGGTGTAAACCCTGAAACTGCAGCGCCGAAACCCAATCTGTCCACAACTAGGAAACCTGAAAGCCATTGGAATGAAACCAGGAGGCCGAGTTCAACAGGACCTGGAACAACGAAAACACAAGCAGATATTTGGGAGGAAACTGAGATCGCTAGACTCAAAGAAAGGTAGCTACTCAGAAATCGGCGATCATTTTCATAATTTATAATTGAAACATCATGTTACATATAGGTTTTGACAGCCATATCATTGTCAGGCATGAGAAAATAAACGCCACAATACTTGCATGGGAGAAGAAGAAGAAGAAGAAAAGCACAAACCATCTCCATAAAATAGAGGTTTTGCTTCATTTTATTTTCATATATAATCAATAATCTGATCATGAACTAATAATCCACTTATTGGAAAAGCAGAGTGAAGTAGAGCGAAAAAGAGCAAAAGCACTACAAAAGTTCAGCAGCGAGATGGAAACTATCAAACAGATTGCACAAGGAGCTAGGGCAGAGGCAGAGGAGAGGCATAGGAAAGAAGTCTTGAAGGTGAAAGAAAAGGCAAATGCAATGAGAACAACAGGGAAAGCTCCTAAAACATGCTTCTGCTTGTAACTAGACCAGTTGCTCACCGAGTTTCGAGAGTGTAAAATTTCTTTCACGATCCTGTATTTTCACTCAGAGTGTAATCATAATAAGAGTTCCACCGCATTATTAGCCGTACCATATCTAAAACATGTATAAATTAAACACAAAGGAATTTCCTATTACAAACTAACTAATAGGCACTCATTTCATATAGCAAATTAGACATCATAGCCATCTATTCATTTTCTGCGGATTTCAAATAAGCATGCATGTAAATTCACTACGATAATTTTCATTACCTCATCTAAAATAACATGAGCAACAATCTTGAGAGTACTCAAGCTTGGGCAAAAGGAAATCAGCTACTTCAAACTAATAATGATAGTTACATCAGTGATGATCATTTAGACACAGAAGTCGGAACTTACAAATTACCCAAGAAAACTTGCCACATACACTCTTGAAACTTCCACTGTCATACACACAACAGAATCTGAGAAGGCTTTGGATAGCGAAGACTCAATTTGATGTGTCACGAGCTTATCTCCTTTACCAGCCTATCCAAAATAGGGTATGCAAAGTACAACAACAAGAAAGATGGAATTGCAAAAACAACTGTGAGTAACAAGTAGATTGCCAAAATAATAGCACTGCCAGGTATTGCGAAAAATGCAATCACGAGAAACAATATGACTAATGGGAACTTGGAAGTAATGTGAATGAAGCAATCCAAAGACTTGTGCAGGGAGAATTGATGCCGCTCCACATGGCCACCCCTATCATCACGGTTATGCCTTGAAAGTGAAGGACAACTAGAATGGTTCCTCCTCAGGTTACCGTTGGCAGCTTGATTTCCAATAGCCAAACTTGCTATTGGAGAACCAATTAGTTGATTTTCCCCACTGATTGCAGGAACAAACTTTAACCTATCACCATTAAAGCTCTCAACCATCCACAGAAGGAAGAAATTCTTGCGAGGAAACTTTAGATTACCCTTATAAATCAGCCGCAAAGACAACTGGTGGCACCAAGGGCAAGAAATGAAAAATGGGATCTTAAACTTTTGAGAGGATAATTTTACGAGAGCCCATTGAAGCCCCAAGACACAGTTTCTACACAGGGTATGACCGCACCATAAGACATGGGGCACATTCTCGACAATGTTGAAAGATTCCAGGCATATAGGGCATTCTAACCCTTCCTCTCGGCTTGAATTCGAGCAGACTTCATCGTCCGAGGAGTCCAAGCAAACCTGACTCGGCTCTGATGAGCTTCTTTTTAGTCCAACGCTTGTGAAAGCATTTGAAGCAAAACCCCACATCGTAACAAATAAATAAGGGCGACACAAATTAAGGGGTTAATTACTAAAACCGCAGAAACTGCAACACCATTCAACCATGAAACTTGAATCTTCACAAATTCTTCAATTTTACCCTGTCAACAGTAAGCTAGTTTAGTTCCTACAAATTTGAATATACATATCCTTTTTCGACGTGAAAAAGTAATTTATTCAACAAATACACAAAAACATGTATGACATTGGCAACCCCTGCAACAATAGACCAACCCAGCACCAAAAATCCTTAACACAAACTTGCTTGATGAAAATTACTTCCGAATCGAGACACCCCAATCATTACAATTACCCATTTCACAGTAGAGTCCTTATTACACCAGTGAAGTAGACACCTTATAATTTGCACAATCACTTAGCATACTGGGAAAAATCAAAGAATAACCAACAACAATTTAGGTTCTAGAACATGAAATACTTTACCATTCTCTAAGGTTAACATAAAAATCCTTAAGTTTTAACACAATGCAGCATAATTTTAAAGTACCCACCAAAACTCATAAATTGATTTCTGATGGAGAAACCAAAGTGCTAGGATATGAACTACCCAACAAATAATTAAGCAAAATATGATTTGGGGTTCTAGTAATTTGCACGATCACAGTATTGACAGGCGAAATTAACAAGCTTTTAACAAGGAACAGAACAAACAATTATCCCAAAATTCAACATTTCAATGCGGCATATATTTACGTAGATTCGAATCGACGATTAAAGCAAATTAAGATATAAAGGGGACGATTTGGAGGTCAAAACTTTACCTTTTAACAAGATTGACTGAAACTGCAGTGGGGGGATGTAGAAAGAGGGCGGAGAGAGAGCGGCAGATGAATGAGCGAGCAGAGCTCGGTTCCTCTGTTCCTCTGCAGCTACCGTGTTAAAAGGACAAAGAAAAGGAGACGTAGAGAACGTAACGGTGTTAAAAATTAGGGTAGGTGCCAGGTGGCAAACCCGTGTCATAAGGATTCTGGTTTGTTTGGTCAACAAGGATTCTGGTTAGGTCCTTTGTTGGAAAAGGAAACAAATCTCCTCCGGATCCCTTTTCACCTTATCCATCTAATTCAGAATTCGGGCTGTTGAAATTTAATTAAACAGCTACACTTATTATCATTTTTTAAGAGGCCCCTATATTTGTAACCGTTGAATCAAATTTCAACGGTCCATATCCCAAACTAAATGAAGTTGGAAAAACAAAAGAGCAAACAGAGTGGGAGAATAGAATAGGATGCAAATTAAATATTATTATTTTTATCTGTTTTTTGAAACCAACCAAGAAAAATCAAAGTTTTGTTGGGCAGACCTGATACAAATATAGATGGTATGATGTGTCTAATTACGATAGTCCAGATTACTCAGTAGTATGGAAAATAAACAGTTAAGATTGAATTGATAAAATGTTATTTTTATTTTATCAATTCAATTGATATTTTGTAGAACGGACTATTGAAGACTAACCCGTCTATGTACATCTAAATCTATTTTCCAAAAGAAAAGTATCACCTAAATCTGTTTAGATTATGTTTAGAGACACCAATTTGGCACCGGATTTTTTCAGTTTAGCTGTCTCATTAATCAAATTTAATATAATGTGGAATTTACATATGAAATTTATAATATTCTTTTATTATGCTAGAAAAACTTCCATGCAACGAAAATACTGTTTTGTATCGGTACTTCAGATGAATCACGTTATAATGTTCACTGCATCATTGCCTTGCATTGTCACCTGACATATCTGTGTATCTAAGTTTCTTGAAGTGGACAATTAACTTTACGTAATTAATGATTAACGATGATTGCTGGATTAGTCCTTCATGAAACCTTGAGCCATCTTTAAATAGCCCCCAAATTTACCATGCCCACCCTCCTCCTCACCGTCATCCTTTTTAGTGTGCTTTTTCTTGCTTTTAGGGCTCTCCTCCGACTCAGAAGCTGAAGAATGAGAAGTTTTGTGGCCACCTCCCTCACCTTCTGTGCCACCACCGCCGTACTTGCGGAGCAAACCTTCTGCCTTGCCGATGTAACTCCCCATGCCTTCCTTCTCGTCCAAACCACCGTATGCGGAGGCAGCGCTTAGAACGGTGCTGGCAGCCTTGCAAACCTCAGCTTTGTCGTACTTCTCCCCTTTAGCCGCGCCCGCCACAATTTTCGCGCTCGACATCACCTCCCCCATCGATGGCTTCCCGCCCTTCTCCTTCGCTCCTCCCATTTTCCGCTCACGATGTTCGCCCTGATCATCCTCTTCATCCCTTTCATCCCCATGATGCCGATCCATTAGCTAATTCAAAGAAAATGTAGCAGTGCTTTATATTTTTTTATTTTTTTTTCATATAGTGATGAGAAATTGATTAGCTTTTTGTTGAATATATACGACACTCTCCATGGGTATATATTCTCTCCACTTTGTGATGTACCCGTTTTTAATGCATTATCCACAAACAGCTTTTATTTTGGGTGATGTTAATTGATGGTTCACTTTTTTTTATTCTTTAATTATCATAGCCAAATATTTAAGCAGAATTTTTACGGCCACTCGTTCCTCACCGAGAAAAACTTCGATAGGGCGCAACATTTAAATGTACGATCGATGTCTTATATGCATTGAGGGTTTATTTGAAAGAAAAGTAGAGCCCACATATACATAAATCTTCTACATGACACAAACACAATTGCTTAAGAAATACATACACATAATACACAGGAAAACACAATGGAAATGGAAGGCCTAAAACCAAATACAGAAAGTAAAACAAACTTTAACTAACATCATAATTAAGTTAACAACTAAGAAAGCCAAATTAAGTGAGAGTGCCGCAGGATCATGAGGATAATAACCTTACATAATTAGTGATTAATTATGACGATCATCACTTCTTCAAGAATCCCTGAGCCACCTTAAGATAATCACCAAACCCACCTGATCCACCCTCCTCCTCCTCCTCATCCTTTTTACCATGTTTCTTCTTAGTCTCATGCTCTCCGCTCACCGGATAGTTCTCATCATCGTCTCTTCTCTCCTTCCCCACACCATGCTTATGAGACTCGGAAGAGTAGTGGCCTCCTCCTCCAGAGTTATGAGACTCAGAAGAGTAGTGGCTTCCTCCTCCGCCGCTTCCGCCGCCGCCGCTGCCGTACTTGTGAAGCATATCCTCAGCCCTTCTAACATAACTCCCAAGTCCTTCTTTCTCGTCCAGCTTCCCATAGTGCGCGGCAGCGCTTAGGATGTTACTAGCAGCCTCCGAAACCCTAGCTCTGTCGATCTTTTCCCCGCCGCCTTTGTTCATCGAAGATTTGGCTGCTTCCGCCACAATCTTGGCACTAGACATCAGCTCGCTCGTCGTCGGTGCAGCATGTCCCGGCTTCCCGTAGTGGCCCTCCGGCTTCCCGTGGTGACCCTCAGCCGCGGATTTTCTCTCGCCACCATATTGATCTTCCTGGTCTTTGTCCCCATAACCTCCGGACCGGTAGTGACCCTCAGTCGCGGATTTTCTCTCGCCACCATATTCATCATCCTGGTATTTGTCGCCGTATCCTCCGGACCGGTGGTGACCCTCGGTCGCGGATTTTCTCTCGCCACCATATTCATCGTCCTGGTATTTGTCCCCGTATCCTCCGGACCGGTGATGACCCTCGGTCGCGGATTTTCTCTCGCCACCATATTCATCCTCCTGGTATTTGTCCCCGTATCCTCCGGACCGGTGGTGACCCTCAGTCGCGGATTTTCTCTCGCCACCATATTCATCTTCCTGGTATTTGTCCCCATATCCTCCGGACCGGTGGTGACCCTCGGTCACAGATTTTCTCTCGCCGCCATACTGATCGTCCTGGTATTTCTCCCTGTAACCTCCAGACCGGTGGTGACCCTCAGTCGCGGATTTTCTCTCGCCACCATATTGATCGTCTTGGTCTTTGTCCCCGTAACCTCCGGACCGGTGGTGACCCTCTGTCCCGGATTTTCTCTGGCCATCGTATTGATCATCGTCGTCTTTGTCCCCGTAACCTAAGGAAGAGAAAGCTGATGAAAGCCGATCCATCAGTGAGTGAAGAAAAGTAGATCTACTGCTTTTGCTTTGTGAGGAGGATTTAATAAAACGGGTGGAAGCCGGTTACATATAAATCGACTTGCACATGCTTCTCGGTGGATGGATATTTGGGATTTGGATCCTCTTCGGATCCCCTCCCTGGGGATCCCGGGGATCAAGATACAAGGACCGTTCATCAAAGATCGTGCGGTCATAATTAAATATTTTACGCAAAACGAGACTGATTTACTTTTAAAAATATAAAATCATTTAATTTTGACCGCACGATATTTGATGAACGGTCATTGTGCCTTGATCCCCGGGATCCCCAGGGAAGGGATCCGGAGAGGATCCAAATCCGGATATTTGGATTTATTTTATAATTGTCGGTGGACCTTTCACGTGGTGATGTTAAATCCACGTCTCGCTTACAGCTGAAAAGCCAAAAGGAAACATTTTCTTTATTTCAATCCCTTGAAGTCATTTCATTTTTCTTTAGACAAATATTTATCGAATTTTCAAATTATAAAGATTTGACATAGCGATGAAAAATCACAGATGAGCAAGGACTGAGTTAATTTTTTTTAGATCAAATCCAACTCTGAGCTAAATGCTATTTTTTAGGTTTTATTTTCTCCCAAGTCCAACCCAGCTCATGCTAAATGTGTAGATTAAAAGCTAAAAGCCAAACAAAAGTCAAATTCTCCTTAGGATTTAGCCCAGAAAATGGTGTGGGCACCACTAGACCTCATCCATATGAGCATGTCTCATAGGATTTATTGAATCCAACGGTTGAGATCGAATATAATCAAATCTAAATGTAAACTATATATATATAGTTACCCAAATTTAAATCCAACGGCTAAAATAATTAAAAAAATTATTTAACTCAAAATTCAACCAAATTTAATGATTTTTCAATATTTATCGGAATTTAAATATTTTTAGGTTAAAATGTTCATAAAATTAAATTATAATAGTGTACATAATATTTTTTTTTTAAATTAGCTTAAATTTATTCTTTAATAATCTTAGGTTAAAAAATTTAAGCCACAAGGATTGGAACAGAAAATATGTCTCTAGGCTAAAAATTTTAGATTTTAGCCCAAGGGTTGGAGATGGTCTTAGTGGGAGCCAATTTCAAGACTTTGAAAACAAAAATTTGTGAGAGTAAATTTTTTATTTTATTTTATAATTTCATTGCTTTTCTTTTATTTTTAAATTTTATTAAGTCAACTTGTGGACATTTTTCACAATAATAACTTATTATACATATTTGTTGCAAATTTCAACTAAATGTTTTTTTAACTAACGATATTATTTACACTAAAGAGAATAGATTGGGTTTAGCCTCATAATGAGCTAGCAATAATGTGGTTCAAATTCGTCTTTGACGAGAATCGAACCTAAGACTTCTCACTTACAAGTGAAGAAGAATACTACTAGACTGTAGTACTAAGTAGCTAACCAAAATACTTAAATATGATAAATTCTTCTGATTTTTTTCCTCTACACAAAACTTTAGTTAGGCCAGTTGTCCCTAGTGGGTCTTAGCTGCCTCTGTCCTTGCAACAAAAGAATAAAAATGTAGGGCAAAAGACTGTTTACTACCCTCATGTTTTGTGGTTTTCAACATTTAGTACATCAATTTTTTTTCATCTCAGAATCATACCTAAAAGTGGACATTTTAACATCCGTTGTCAAACAATTAGTTCCCCGTTAAGACCGTGAGCGCCCATGTGGACAATAATTGGGCGCCACGTGTCATTAAAAAATATAAAAATATTAAAAATATTTATATTAAAATAAAAAATAAAAAAAACCATAATCCCCTACTTCTTCCCTGCAACCCGCACCCTCCCTAGATTTTTTTCTTCTTCTTCCATAATTCGGTTTTTTTTTCCTTTTCTTTTTCTGTTCTTCTTTCTTCTCTTTCTCTTATTCTTCAGGATTTAAAATTTAAAAACAAAAAAAATAATAATAATCTTTCACCTTTCATCCCGACAGCCCTCCCCCCCCCCCCCCTCTCTTCCATCCCCCTCCCGCACAACCCATCCGCCTCCTTCCCTCACCCTTTTCTTTTGCATCACGCAGTCACCCTCCCCTCATCCGAAGCCACTGGGAGGAGGTGAAGTGTCCACGAGGGGTTCCCTCAGCCCCTTCGAACGAGTCCAACGACCTTGAATTCCAGATTTTGATTTTTTATACCAGAATTAATGTTAGGGTTGGGATGGATGGGAGGGTGGAATGGATCTATGTGTGAACTGCAGAGGAGAGAAGGGAGGGAGGGAGGGGAAAGGGGTGGGATGGGTGAAAAGGGCAGAGTTTGGGATGTTCTTTTTAATTTTGTTAAATTTTTTGAAAGAGGAAAGAAGAATTTTGGAAGATTTTTTTTTGAAAGTAGCTGGTACCTGAAGTTGTAAGAAAGAAAAAGAAGAAAGAAGAGAGAAGAAAGAAGGAGAAGAAAGAAATCACTTGGGGAGGGTAACATTGCTGGGAGGGATTATGTTTTTTTTTATTTGTTTTTTTAATAAATATGTGAAAAATATTTTAATAATTTTTTTTTGAAATGGCCCCAAATTGTCCATAGGGTGCCATGTCATCCTTGAAACTTTGAGAATAAAACAGGACAAAATAAGGGTAAAATTAACTTTCGGTATTTTCTGGGATGAAAAAAGTTACTGTACTAAACTTGAAAACCCACGGTCCCATGAATTGTTCTAAGTTTGCCCAAAAATGATTACTTATAAGTTGAAAAGGCATCCAATTTGTATGAAAATGTGAAATAAAAATACGAAAATCTTAATAATTAAGCAACATATTTAATTAGGTGTAAAAGAGAGTAAAAAACAAAATGAGGTAAAGTGAATAGTTATAGGAGTTGAGTTTTTGGTATCAAAAATATGTTTTTTTTAAAAAGGCTAGAGCAGGCATCGTGTCAAAATACCTATCTGGTGCCCTTAAACTCCTTTTTCTAAATGAATTTCCCAACTATTATTTGATAATGCTGCTTTGTAGGAACTATAACGAGAAGCACCTGGTATCCAAAACGATAAGAAGATTTTTAAAATAAATCAATCCTTATTACGCCTTTACTTTTTTGTTATAAATACCCATCGATAAAAATTAAGTCCTTGAGTTGCCACTTAACTTACAAGTTTTAGTGGTATTCTTCTTTTATTTGTAAAAGTGATTAATGTTTTTAGTTCGACATCGCGATTTTTTTTGCAAAAAAATACTTCAGGCCCATTGTGAAAAATGAGTCCCCATGCTCAATAAAAATAGAATAAGATCTATATCCACACTCAGTGATTTGGTTTTTTCCAAAGTTTCCAGAGTAGGAAGACGGACCGCCCAACCGGTAGTTCACGATTTCAACGGTGAGTCAATTAAGGGAAACTTATCTACCACAACACAAGCTTTTCATTAGTTTTATTTCTTTTTAGTCAAGGAGAAGCTTCAAGATCAAAGCTTTAAAAAGAAAACCCAAGGCCACAGATTTTGCGAAGAAGGCTTGGTTATCCTGTTTCGCATAAACTCTCTAAAAGGCCAGAAAGCGTTACATTGATGATAGGCTGAAATTGCTTTTAAAAATAGTTGAAAATTTTAGATGAAATTACATATAAATTTTTGAAAAACATTTAAAAGTATTTTCTAGAAAAAAACACATAACTGATATTTTTTTGCAAAAAATACTTTCAGTATTTTTGAAATTTTCAAAAATTTTATTTAAAACCGAGCACAATGGCGTTCTAAGATTCATATAGCCAATCCCACTCAGTGACTTGGATTTTCCAAGTCTCCAACCGAGAAGTTTTCCTCACTCGGGAAATTAAGGGAACACTACCCCAACCTACATGCTCCACTCAGAAAGCTTCAACATACAAGCTTTAACAAAAGAAAATTCAAAGAACTTAGCGAAGAAGGCTTTGGTGTATTTAACACAATACATTGAAATGAAGGAAAGCTTATTTATTGATATCCTCGATAAGCTACAAATATGTACATATACATGAGTCAAAATAAGCACACAAGAGGGAGCCTTCACAAAGGTTGCTTAGGAGAAGTCTCAGCAGTCGGTAGAGCCCCAGAAAGAGAAGGCACCGGAGGGGGATCATTTGGAGCCTCAGTACTGGACAGAACCCTAGAAGGAGGAGGCATCAGAGGTTGATCATTTGGAGCTTCATTACGCGGTACAGCCCCAGAAGACGAAGGCAATAAATGTCTTTGGAACAAACCCACAAATCTCTGATGATTAAGTAAAACCTGACCATCAGTTTCCTTCATCTGGTCAAGCTTCCTCTTCATGTTTGTAGCATAGTCATGTGCGAGCCGGTGCAACTGTTTATTTCTCATGCTTGAGCCCTCTAATCTCCTGTTTGAGACTCATCACTTCAGCTGCCAATGATTCAACTTGGCGGGTTCGAGCAAATAGGCGTTGGGCCATATTAGACACAGAACCTGCACACTGAACACTGAGAGCCAGCGAATCCTTAACAGCTAACTCATCAGACCGTTTGGAAAGTAGTCTGTTATCTTTGGGAGTGAGAAGGTTCCTGGCCACCACCGCAGCGGTCATATCATTCTTCATCACGGAATCCCCAACGGTAAGAGGACCAGTAGGGGAGACGAAGGATGGGCGCCATATGTTGTCTGGAGAAGGCGGGGCTGCCTCTTCAACAAGGTTCAAGTCAAAACGACGGTCGGAGGGCCAGACATTTTCAAAGGTGTTGAAGAGAGAAGAGGTCGGACAAATCAAGATCTTAGAAGTGCAAGAATGAAGCTTCTACTGGTGGAGATTCAAGTGTGCTTTGGAACTTAATGCCAGCCCCTATAAAAATCTGCAATCGACGAAGCTTCAGAAATCGAAGAGGCGCCTGCTCAGAAATCGAAGAGGCGTTTGCTTTCTCAAAAGCTGGGCTGCTTAGAGATCACGAGGGTTGATCTCAGAAATCGAAGAGGCGTTTGCTTTCTCAAAAGTTGGGCTGCTCAAAGACCACGAAGGCCGATCTCAAAAATCGAAGATGCGCTCGCTTTCTCAAAAGCTGGGCTCCCCAGAGACCACGAGGGCCGATCTCAGAAATCGAAGAGGCACCTACTTTTCCAGCCTTTTCCAGCCTTGTCAGCACCTGTCACATGCACACTCAGTTTTGCGGAAATTATGGGCATTCTGTCAAAGACTTCTGGGGAAGTAGAAAACACATGAATCTTACTGTTCAATCACCCACTTCCCACACGCAACAATAGCTCATGGGTACCACAGATAACTTTGCCAAAGTTCTCTGCCAAAGTTGAGCACGTGAAGCTTGCAGCTCCTACTACATCGCTCTAACCAAGAAGGGTAAAAGAATAGCAAAGAAACAGCACTAACAAAGTTTAGACCCATAAATTTTGAAGGTCTAGCTACCATATTATTACCCACAAGGGTAAAGGAACAGTACCACTGCTGGATAATTGGAAAGTCCCTGTGTGTCAACCTCTGTGCTTCGTGGCAAGGTAGACTAGCAAACATGCCCAACCTTTACTCACATTCGAGAAAACACTCCCAATAAGATTGCTTGCTCCAAAATCGAAGAGGCACCGTCCTCCGAATCTCGAGAGCCAGACTCCCAACATGACTACTTTCTTAAAAATCGAAGAGAGGGTAAAGGAACAGTACCATTGCTGGATAATTGGAAAGTCCCTGTGTGTCAACCTCTGTGCTTCGTGGCAAGGTAGACTATCAAACATGCCCAACCTTTACTCACATTCGAGAAAACACTCCCAACAAGATTGCTTGCCCCAAAATTGAAGAGGCACCGCCCTCCGAATCTCGAGAGCCAGACTCCCAACATGATTACTTTCTCAAAAATCGAAGAGACACTGCTCCCGAATCTCGAGAGCCAGACCCCCAGCATGATTGCTTTCTCAAAAATCGATGAGGCATCGTTCTCCGAATCAATCGAAGAGGCGCTCGCTTTCTCAAAAGCTGGGCTGCTCAGAGACCACGAGGGCCGATCTCAGAAATCGAAGAGGCACCTACTTTTCTAGCCTTGTCAGCACCTGTCACACGCACACTCAGCTTTGCAGAAATTATGGGCATTCTGTCGAAGACTTCTGGTGAAGTAGAAAGCACATGAATCTTACTGTTCAATCACCAACTTCCCACACGCAACAATAGCTCATGGGTACACACAAATAACTTTGCCAAAGTTCTCTGCCAAAGTTGAGCACGTGAAGCTTGCAGCTCCCACTACATCGCTCTGACCAAGAAAGGTAAAAGAATAGCAAAGAAACAGCACTAACAAAAGTTTAGACACATAAATTTTGAAGGTCTAGCTACCATATTATTACCCACAACTGTAAAGGAACAGTACCACTGCTGGATAATTGGAAAGTCCCTGTGTGTGTCAACCTCTGTGCTTCGTGGCAAGGTAGACTAGCAAACATGCCCAACCTTTACTCACATTCGAGAAAACACTCCCAATAAGATTGCTTGCTCCAAAATCGAAGAGGCACCGTCCTCCGAATCTCGAGAGCCAGACTCCCAACATGACTACTTTCTCAAAATCGAAGATAGGGTAAAGGAACAGTACCATTGCTGGATAATTGGAAAGTCCCTGTGTGTCAACCTTTGTGCTTCGTGGCAAGGTAGACTAGCAAACATGCCCAACCTTTACTCACATTCGAGACAACACTCCCAACAAGATTGCTTGCTCCAAAATCGAAGAGGCACCGCCCTCCGAATCTCGAGAGCCAGACTCCCAACATGATTACTTCCTCAAAAATCGAAGAGACACTGCTCTCCGAATCTCGAGAGTCATACCCCAGCATGATTGCTTTCTCAAAAATCGAAGAGGCATCGTTCTCCGAATCTCGAGAGCCAGATACCACAGACCACTTTTTCAAAGTGCTCTGACAGAGTTAAAACATGTGAAACTGGCAGCTCCCACTACCGTGCTATGACCAAGCAGGGTAAAGGAATAGCATTACTACTTGTTAGGGAGACTCCTATATATGTCGACCTCCATCCCCAACGGACAGGCAGACCTGCAAAAATGCTCAACCCTTCATCATATATGAGAGGGCACTCCCAAAGAAGCCTTTCGAAATATTCAGCTTTCTTTCCCCCCGATAATACCTCTGCAAACAAGCTATACTAGAGCAAGAATATCTCATATCATCAGGGTTAAAAGCAAGAGTATCCCATATCATGCTTTTTCCCTGTCTTTTCTTTTGGCCTTGTTTTTACCTGCAAGACAAGGAGAAAGAGAGCAATCAGTCAGCACTTGGAATCAAGCTTCCAGCCAGGAACTGACTGCCTGGAACCCCTTACCTGATTACTTACCTGGCATTGCTCTCGAGTACTCATCTTCAACATCTTATGCTTCCAGGGAAGATTCCGCATCTGCTTGAGGAACAGATAGGGCAAGTGCGAAGGATACAAGGAAGCATGTGGAGACAAGCGTAACAGCACACGTGCCGATACATTCATTACTCTGTCAAAAGCAAAAGTATCCCATATCAGCAGGGTGGAACGTACTCTAGATTTGATGGACTTGTTTTGACCCTCAAATTCTTCAGTCGGCCTTATACTCTGGAGGAAACCAGAAAACCCTCCAGCTCAGTTCAAGAATAAGCCTGTGGAAAGTTACTTCTTCAAAAGCAAAAGTATCTCATATCATCTCTTCTCATTTTTTCTTCTCTTTATCCTTCATGCTGCTGCAAGATGGGGAGAAGGTGAACAATCAGTCGGAGCTCTGATTGCTTACCTTGTCTGTCACCTCTTTCAGCAGACCCCCTAGCTCGGCGACTTGGGGGACTCCTACTACATGGTTTGTATCGCGCTTGACCAAGCCTGAAACTACAAGTAAGCTTCAAGTGAAATTGATACATTACCTTGTGCATCTCCACCAGTTAAAGATACCACCCCTGGATGGAGGAAGAGTACTTCCAGAGAAGATGCCACATCTACCTATGAGACAGATAAGGCAAGTCAAGACGACACCACACTCCGATACTTAGAAGTTTCGTGATTACGAGATCATTCTCCCACAATATTTCCTAATGTCATTTGTACTAAATCATTCACTTGTACTCACTAAATGAGAGCTTGAACCTATGTACTTGTGTAAACCCTTCACAATTAATGAGAACTCTTTCTATTCCGTGGACGTAGCCAATCTGGGTGAACCACGTACATCTTGTGTTTGCTTTCCTATCTCTATCCATTTATATACTTATCCACACTAATGACCGGAGCAATCTAGCGAAGATCACAAAAAGCGATCGTTTTCGCTACCTAGGATCTATCTTGCAAGAGAACGGAGAATTAGATGGAGATCTCAACCATAGAATACGAGCTGGATGGAAAGAGTGCATCCGGCGTGTTGTGTGACCGTCGTAGGCCACTGAAGCTCAAGGGAAAATTTTATAGGACGGCAATAAGGCTAGCGATGTTGTATGGCACAGAATGTTGGGTGGTGAAGCATCAACACGTACACAAAATGGGTGTAGCGGAGATGAGGATGCTTCGTGGGATGTGTGGGCACACGAGAAATGATAAGATTGGGAATGAGGATATCCGAGGTAAAGTAGGAGTAGCCGAAATTGTAGGAAATATGAGAGAAAATCGGCTCCGGTGATTTTGAACATGTGCAAAGAAGGCCGACTGACGCTCCGGTTCGAAGATGTGACTACGGGACAGAGGTTCAGGGCCGAAGGGGTAGAGGAAGACCTAGGACAACTTTGGAAGAGACTCTAAGAAAAGACTTAGAGTACTTGGATCTAACGGAGGACATGACACAAAACCGAGCGCAATGGCGTTCTAGGATTCATATAGCCGACCCCACTTAGTGGGAAAAGGCTTTGTTGTTGTTGTTGTTGTAAAGACATTTTCAAAGGTTGGAAAAAAAAGACATTTTCAAAGGAGCCCTATGTTTAGTTACATTTGATTAATACATATTATTGGATTAATAATTGATCAATTATATTGACAAGTTTTTTTTTGACCCTCACCTTCTGAAGTGGTGCACTAAAAGAATATTGATATCGTCGTGGGATTAGTATCATTTTTATAAGCAAACGTAGATGGCGATTTACCATAGTAGTTTATGTTTATGTATTTTGGTACGGGTTTAATCTCCATCGATTATTCTTTCTACAACAGCTAATAATTTATCACACTAAAATTATCGCTTATAAAAAACAAACAACATAATCAATACAAATGACCATAAAATTTCATACCTTTACGAGTAATGTTACAAGGATGACATGGTCGCACACTATGGTCTGTGGCTAGTGGAGACGACACACTCCCTCTTCAAAGTGAGCAAAGGTATGTTGTCCCCTAACTACATGTTTTCTTTGTGACTCTTTAGAACATCTTTAAAGGAGATGTCAAAAGATAAATGTCAAATGTTAATTTGATGACTGGCGTGGCAATGTCAGATTTTCTCTTTTTCCAACTGATTTTTTTATGTTATAAATGATATTTGTAGGATCCATTTTAAAAAGAAATCAATTAGAATAAATTTTCAAGATCTATGATTGTTGCATTAATGGGACTCACACAATAAAGTAATTAAAAATTATTTGACATCACTTTTTCTCATATGTCAAATTTGATATATCGATTGGAACTTACTCCTACCCTCAAATTTGATTACATGATATTCTACTTAAAATTTAATATCTCATTTAGAAATGATCTTACTAATTTCTCAACACTTGTTCTTAGAGTTAACTAATTAAATATTAATAAAATAAAATAAATAAATAATTAACTTTGAAATAAATGGAAGAACAAGTTTCAAGAAACTAGTAAATAGACACAAACAAGACATAGGGTATAGCAAACTCTGGGCCTTCAAAGTGACATTGAAAGGAACTGGAAGGGTCCACGTATGCAATGGGCTTCAAGTTGGGCCAGTATTGGGCTTACATGTCAACTTGTCCAACGCGAAGTAAACCGGGAAGAACTCCCTGTAAAATCCCCAAAACCCCCAACTCCCAGCTTGCTCCGTACAGTTCGCCGTGGACATGGAGATCGATCATCCAGCGCCGTCCGAGCAGAAACTCAAAGCCGAAGACCTCTTCAAAGCCGCCGAGACCGGAGATTCTTCGGCTCTCAAATCTCTCTCTCAGAAACAGCTCGCCGAAGCTTTCTCTCTCAGGAACGAGGACGCCCGCTCCATCCTCCACGTCGCCGTCTCCTCGGGCCGCTCCGAGGTTCGTCTTCTCCCGCATTCCTCAAATTCCTGTTTGGTTCCCGAGAAACTGAGGGAAAATTAGAGAACATTTGAGGGTGCCCTCTGCTTTCTATTTGATTTCAGTTTCAATTGAAAATCAGTACTTTGAGTTTGTTCTCATTTCGCTTCAATTGTAATTTTAAATTTTAATACTCTGTGCTTTGAAGCTGATGAATTTGTGGCGTTCTGGGGACTCAGGTGGTGAAGTTGCTGATTGCTGCCGATGAATCAACGAGTGTGATAAACAGCACGGATGAAGACGGATGGGCGCCGCTTCATTCTGCGGCCAGCATTGGGAATTCGGAAATAGTTGAGCTGTTGCTAAGCAAAGGTAAATTTGTCAGATTTCATGGCTATATGCTTCATGACTTCGTGTTGTTTGTAGCACCGTTAACCAGGCAATGTAGTAGACGTGGTGGGCGTAGTCACGTTGGCTAGAGCGGATGTGCTCCTCTACGCACTCAAGTTTCAAATCCCCCTCCTCGCTGTTTAATTGGGTTTAAAGTAGAATATCGTTTGAAAAACAATGGTGGTTACTTGAACATGGCCGGTTGTGCTATCTCATCGTTCTGATTGTATGGTTTTTAACAGGAGCTGATGTTAATATAAAAAACAATGGCGGTCGATCTGCCCTTCATTATGCTGCCAGTAAGGGATGGTTTGAGATTACTCAGTGTTTGATCTCCCATGGGGCAAATATTAATCTGAAGGACAAGGTTTGTAACATCACATAATAGTGTTTTATCTGGGGATGGGGAACCTTTTCTTTTAATTTTTTTTGTATTTGCTGATTTGTGATCATATGGTATGCATTGTGCTCAGGTTGGTTGCACCCCATTGCACCGGGCAGCGAGCACTGCAAAATCAGAACTGTGTGAGCTTTTAGTTGAGGAAGGAGCAGAAGTTGATGCTGTTGATAAAGCTGGTCAGACTCCTCTCATGGGTGCGGTGATTTGCGATAACAAAGAGGTAGGTTTGGGTGACTCTGAGAAAGAGATTATTATCTTTGCCGCATACATGGATATATTTGTTTGGTTGGTCAAGAATTACATCATGAATGCCACTTTTATTGCCCTTGTTGAGTCTACTTTCCACACTCTCGTTTTAATAAGCCAGTTGGGATTGAGCATTTCTGATTCAGATTTTAGCAATGAAATAAAGAGTTGGGAAAGAGATTAGCCTTAGGAAATGCATGCTTGGTTGCAATTTACAGTATTTCTTTCTGTCTTTTTTTGACTAGTATGGACTTGACTGTAATATGCGCCTTACATTATTATCTTAGCAGCTTCATACCATATAATGCTTCTGGCTAATGTCAACTATTGTAAGAAGGGCTTGAAGATTTTTGGTGTTTCTCCAATTGATTTTAAACACTGACCTTGATCCTGGCTTTTTAGAGCCTGTTGAATGAGTGCTTAACCTGTTTTCTCTAGCCCTGTGGTGTTTAATTTCTTCTTCCGAATTCCTGGCATTCTTTTACATCTCCGTTTTTGTTATTGCTAGACAAATAGGCCCATTGTAAATGGGAAATAAACTTAACAGTTTTGCTATGTGATTATCTGCCTTCGGTTTAAGATAATGCAAAGGATAGAACAATGGTCAATGTATTGATGCTTAGAGAAATGATGAGAAATTCTGCAAAGGTTGCAACAGTTATTATGACCTGCATATATTGTTTCCCTCTCGGTTTGAACCTTTTCTTCGTACTCAGAGACCTTAGGTTATAATTTTTAACTGTTTCACACTTGGTACATGTTAATGGTGCACTTCTATGTTATCAATTTTAATACCAAGTTGACATGGGAAGAACTTTGTATTAACTTCTAGTTTTGTCTAACAGAAAGCATAATTCAATGTTTTCTCAGATCTCCATTCATTTGTGTCGATGACAGGTTTCTCTCCTTCTAATAAGGCACGGAGCAGACGTGGACGTGGAAGACAAGGAAGGATTCACGGTGCTTGGTCGAGCTTCTAAAGAATTTAGACCACTTTTGATCGACGCTGCTAAGGCCATGATTGAAGGATGATTTTCTCGACTGGCTTTGTTTTAGGTGCAAACAAACTGCACGAGTGACCATTAGAAACAAAGAGAGAATAGGAGAGTTTCGTGTAATTAACCAAAGGATTTGTTGCAGGCTATCGTCAATTTCAGTTTATTTCACTATTTCTTCCACTTGTTGGCCTACTCTCGCAAAAAATGACGTCGACGGTATCGTTGTTAGGCATTCACTTGCTGTTATGACTTAATGCAAGTTTTACAATGTGGCATCTCCACACTCAAATCTCTCTGTTTTAGAAACCACCATAATCACCACCTCCCTTCAAAGATGTCTGCCGACTCCGGCAGCCTCCTCCAAACCCCTGAAACTAATGTCGTTGTATTCCCGAGCTCCAGCATGGGCCAGTTGACACCCCTCCTACGACTTGCCGCATTACTGCTTACCCAAAACCACTGCCCACTGAGGCTCACCGTCGCCATCACCCACCCCACCGTCTCCGTCGCTGAGTCAGCTCTCATCTCCCGCTTCCTCTCAGCTCACCACGACAAAGTCAATCACTCACCTCGAGTTCCATCCACTTCCCATAGACCCTTACACCGTGAATTCCACCGACCCTCAAGGGTGCATCTCCTTGTTTATCTAGTTGCACGGTTGTATAGCGATTAGAATCGTCTGTTTTCCTAGTTCTCATTTGAATATCACAACTAAGTGGACAGCAAAGTGGACTTTGGCTTGAAACAAGTATCATCCGTTAAATAATGTATACACGTGTTATAATATGAATGAATTAATAATATTACGTGACAGTGTGATTATCATAATCATATTAAAAAAATTACTCGTGCTTTTCTAGCATTTTGTATGTATGGATGACATGTGTTCAAAACTTTCAAAATTTAACGCATTTACTCCATTACTCGAAGTTCTATGATGGATTTCCTCCTCTTCTACTATTGCCTCCATCATAAAGGGTTAAAAGACTTGAAAAGCCTTTAAAACGGAGGAAATAAAAACATGTCGTTTTGGTTGCCACCTCAAACGACGACTTGAGTAAAAATACAATGCCGTTTAGTGAAAAAACGTTGAAAAGTGCCAAAAGTACTTAAGATGCTTCTGTGGTCGATATAAGCCGTAAATACAAGTATCCCTCCGCTTGTTATCTCTTTATTCGGGTTGGGGCTGTGGTATAAGCCAAACCATGGTTTCCTCTTCAGTCTCAGCTCTCTTCCGCTCCCATCCTTCCCTTCATATTCCACACACCAATTTAGATGTCCATAAAAGACCTACCCCAGTAGTAGTTTGTTCTAGTTCTTCTCCGGCGCCGACGTCTCCCCGCCATGTTCTTCTCCAAACCTCTCTTTCTTTGGCTGCTTCAGCTGCCATTCTTCTCGGCTCAAATCCAGGTATGCAGTTCAAAAGACCCAATACGATGATTTATTCTTTATCTTTGCCTTGCGATTTGAGCAGAATATAACAGATGATCATATGGAAAAAATGCTTAATTGTAGCGATGGTCCTCAACTATACATTTAGTTGCATTTTTGCCCCTAAAAAAGATGAAAATACGTAAGAACTAAGAAGTCATTATTAAAATTTGACGTGCGTGTAAAAACTTTTTGTTTTGTACAAAGACGGAATGACTTTTACACGTAAGGAGTCGAGTAATAAGTCTGCCGTTCTCTAACAGTGCAACTCAACATTAAATTGGAGGACGGCGAGACTTATTTTTGGAATTCACGGACCAAAATGCAAATTAAGGTGTAGTTCAAGGACCGTTGCTACTATTGAGCTAACGTCAAAGTATACTAGTCCTCTAGCATAGGGGTATTTATTTTTAAAATAATTAGGGAGCTGAATGTGGGAGAAATTTGGTGTTGCAGCTAGTGCTGGATTACTATCAGGATCGACTGGAATTGAATCAGTTCCAGGTCCTGAGCTGCCTCAAATCGACTTCCTCAAACGCTTCAACGGTTCGACTTCAACTCTCTCTGAATATTTACATTCATCTACATTCAACATGCTGATTGACATACGTGACAGAACGTTGTTCAATTATATATTACTGCAGAAGAAAACCAGAAAAAGTACGCAGAAAATGATGCAAGATTCAGATCAACTCCAATACTCAAGGAGCTACTAGAAAAATCCAAGCTCAACAAAGAAAAGTAAGTAAGATTCCTGGTTTGTGCTCTCCTAATTGCTTGCATAATTGGAAGTGTGAAAGTTCTAGGCTCGTGCTACTGCTATAAACCCTAAACGGCCTAACAGTAGAACGAGCCTAAACGCTTGAAAGGAGCGACCAAGGCTTTTGATACCATTTATGTCAAACAATCGTGTTGTTAGGGAATGAGGCAACAATATCAACGTCGAAACAAAATCAGACGTGTTCTGTGTGAAACTGAAACTGTGCAGGAATAGTAAAGAAATTCAAGACAAGTACTGCATACGGGGGGCAGAGTGGGGAGTTGGAGATTGCTCGGCAGAGGGAATGACACCTGATGAGAAAGACAAAGTTCATCGCAATGTTGAAGGAGGAGGCTGGCGTCAAGGATTGATATCCACTGGCTTATGCTTTGTGTAAACCCTAATTTCCAAGTAATAGTAGAAATCAAACTTGTAGGAGCTTCTCATTTGAAGACATGGATACGTATGTAATATGAGTAGACGATCACGACCACTACGAACATATAATGATTCAATTGATGCGTAAATTGATACGATATTTAGTCTATGTCGCCGCAAAAGCACATGCGGAGAAAAACTAGTGAAATGACAAACATAACGTAGGACAAGAAGAAAAAAATTGAATTTTAAAAAGTAGGTAAATGTTTACCATCTTAATTTACAAAGTTCCAAACATTTAAATCTATGTGATTTCATTTTCATAGTGAGAGTGATGTGGATTTTTCTACTTTGCATCAAAATCGCGCATATGAAAAAACATAACAAATATACGTACTTAGTGTGTGGCTTTTATCTAATTTATATTTATATATATAATTATATACATGTCATGTCTCATAAATTGTTCATGAATAAAATTGTCCAAAACTAATTTATTCAACCAGACAAGAAAAATTTTGGTTTTAAAACAGATGGTCTCACAAGTGATTTTAGAAAAGAGGTAGTTTCGGAGAAACTTTGATGAACTTAAAACACGTTTACGTGATGTTATTATTCTATTCAAATTATATTATGTGGATTGATTTTCTTATGTACTCATTATAATGCATAGAAATTACTCGTTTGAAAATGCTTTTAAAATAACTGAAAGAGTTTTTGATGAAAATATTTTTAAAATTAATCTCTAAAAAAATTACAAGTGAATCATGCAAAAACACTGAAATACTTTATGCAAGAAACACAACTCGTACTTCTTGTTGAAGTAAGTAACTTTAAATTTGGGCATACATAATGATAAATCTGTCTTGGTTCTGATAAATATTCTTAGCCGGTCAAAGACAAAAAGACAGGAAAACAAAATAAAAAATAAAAGGTCCAGCAGGAAAAAGAAATATAAAATAACTAATAATTTAGTTTTACAATATTTGTGTATATAACCTATTCGGGGCCAAAATCCCATGGGCATTGCAAGCTCACCCACCCAGCCATCATTAGCTTGACCCGGCAATCATAGCTTGACCGGCAATCATAGCTCTCTCTCTCTGGTACTCTTCCCCTCTCTCTCTCTCCCTCTCTCCCTCTCTCTCTCTCTTCCCAACGAATTTTACAATTTCTTCAATATTTTATTTTATTTTATTTGTTCGATTTTCATCTTCAATCTCAGTTTCTCGGAAAATTTCGGCGTACGGTTAGATGTACGGTCTCCTTGTTCTGTGTAATGGACAATTGAATTCATTTCATTTTCTTGCAGTTTCTCAGCTGCCAAACGGGATTTCTAACAAATTCAGCTGTCTGGTGCTTTGAAATTTTGCTCTATCAGAATTTGAATTGGAATTGGGGCTTCTCAGCCAAGAAAAAGAAAGGAGGAAGAAGAGAAGGTGATTTTTTTTCGGTTGAAATTACGCGCACAATTGTAATTGGTAAAATTAGGTAAAGGGTTTATTTGGTTATGTAAAAGTTCAATTTTTTAACTAAATTATGTAACTTTGTTGAAATCAATGATCTTATTTGTATATAAATGTGATAAATTTGATTGTCACATAGCTTCGATCTTTCGGTTTCAGGGGAATCCTGTGTGATTAGTTTGGTTAGCATTGTAGAATTCACATGGGAGTTGAAGCTTGAATTTTGAAAGTTCTGGTGTATACTCGTGATTTTCGCTGCGGGATTGTGACTGCAATTCGGTGTCACAAAAATGTACCGGACTGTGGCTACGGCCGCGACTGCAACCCGGGGTGGATCTCCAACTGATAGTGGGGATTGTGTTGTCACTTTGGATCAAGTTCCGCGGTGGAGCAATTCAGAGTATCGTGCTTCCTTGGAATATGGCAATGAAGATCCTTCGTTTTCAAATTCGTATTTTCCTGATCCTTTAACTTCCAAATCTGGGGGAGAGAGCAGTATCCATGGGATGGTCTCAAGATTTCCAGTTGACCATGAAATTAATTCAAAGACATATCTATGGAGAGGGAACCCATGGAATCTCGAAGTTGATGCAGTAGTGAATTCTACAAATGAGGTGAGCACAGGTTGTGACGATGAATCTTTGATAGAGATTTCTTGACGTATAAACCTGGTGACATTGGTAAAAGAGACAAGTGTAAAATAAATTGTACTAGTCTGACATGTTTTTTGATTGGACAATTTACAGAACATGGATGAAGCACATTGTAGTCCTGGTTTGCATGCTGCGGCTGGACCTGGTCTTGCAGAAGAATGTGCAGCACTGGTATGCTATACTTATTTGCACTGGACTTCTTGTCTTCAGACATTCTTCGTACAGTTCTTGATATTTGAAATGCAATGTAAATACAGATTTATGGGTGAATTTGAAGATGTTGAATGGGATACAACATGGAACTTTCAATGTCATTGGCTTTTTAAGGCTCCCTGTGGTGTTCTGTCAGAATTGGTTTTTTTATTTATTAAGAGTCAACTGATTTGATGTACCTTTTTTTTGTTGGCAGGGTGGATGTAGAACAGGGATGGCAAAGGTCACTAAAGCATACGACCTTCCAGCTAGGTGAGTATATCAGTGCAGTTTTCATTTAGAGAGCTCATTGTGCACAAGTACTCTTTCATTTCTGTATGTAGACTTAATGAATGATGTTTCTTTCCTTGTACATTCCAGGAGAGTTATCCATACTGTCGGTCCCAAGTATGCAGTGAAATACCATACTGCTGCAGAAAATGCTCTAAGCCATTGTTATCGTTCTTGCCTTGAACTTCTCATTGACAATGGGCTGCAAAGGTGCTTGGCAGATGATTGCTGCGCTATTTTGTGTTTAGTATTCTATTTGATTGTTCTTCCCTTTCGTTTTGTTCTTTATAAAGTATGAAGCTTATTTTGTTTGGCCAATATATTGTAGCATTGCAATGGGCTGTATATATACAGAATCTAAGAACTACCCTCGTGAGCCAGCTGCCCATGTTTCTATAAGTGAGTTACTTTCATACATGTTTCAGAAATTAGTTTCCTAGCAATGATGTATTATGCGAAGCATGTGAAGTACATTGAGCATATTTGGGCATCCATGGGACATAGAAAGGCTGATACCAGCTTTTGTTGGATTACATACAAAATCGTGACATTCATTTCGTATGGTGTGGAAAGGACAACAATTAACCAATATTCAAAATAAAAGTTCAAAGGAAAAAAAAAGGATAACAATGTGAGGATGGCTCTTTTATCTCTTGCAGATGCAATCTCTTATGATGAGTTAGATTATGGTACACATAGATCCCCATCTTTAAAATATATGCACGTCTTTTGCATTCTGTGATAAATATAACTTGCTTATCCATTCGTATATGTGCTGGATTATTTGAATTTTTAGTCATGTACATACATCCACGTTTTAATTGCTGCTGGTAAAGTTCACTGAAGATTCAATTATTTCTTTCATTCTTTACTCTTCAGCTTATTTATTTTCTGCTTATTTTCAGGGACTGTGCGACGGTTTATGGAAAAGCAGAAGGACAAAATTGCAGCTGTTGTTTTTTGTACTACTACATCAATGGATACAGAGATATACAAAAGGTTGATAAATATAGCTATTTATTTATGGAGCACATGTTGCTTCACCATGATATATATATGACTTATAAACTCCACTCTTGGTTTTACTGTTACAAAATATTGAGAAATCATTTCCCTTCACTTTTTTTCCAACCTAGATTGCTTCCGCTTTACTTTCCCCGTGATAAACTCGAAGAGGAGATTGCTGTGTTGAAGCTTCCTGCAGATGTAGGTGATGAAAATGGCGAGACAATTATAGATGAGCGCAAAATCAGAATAAAGCCTTTGCCCAAAAAGAATATTCCAAAGCCTCCCCAGGCTCCAGTTGAGCTTCCTGTGAGTGATGTTGGCTTAGTACGAAGGTCAGTCAATGACTCAATGAGAATTTTTTAACATATCAAAGAGAAAACTTAGGGCTTTGACTAATATCAAGAGAAATACTTGGAAAATTCTTGCCACAGAAAGCTTCTGAAGAATTCCATGTTTCATATGTCAATTTTCATACTTCACAGATTTCTGTCCACTTATGTTCTCTGTTTTTGTGGTTATCAAGCTTTTTGTTCCTTTTGCTATACCACTATCATTATCTCTTTTGGTTAAAATCCTTAACTAACTTGCTGAAGATGTTCTATAGGAACTCATCATATTTGGATTCGTTTTTGGATCCTGCCTTCATGTCCTTAATAAAAGACCCAGATCAGAGACGCAAGGAACAGTGGGAGAAAAATGCTCAAGCACAAAGTGGATGGAATTGTGCTAAAATGCTTGGGTTTGGCGACCTTGGTGGACCTCCATTGTCTGCTGCAGAAGAATACTCACTTCATTCAAGATACCTTGCTAAAGCAAATTCTGTTAATCTTTCAGAAATTGCAGAAATGAAAATTGTGTAAGATTTATCTCTTTCATCATTGACATAGTAGCAGCTGTGGAGTCTAAGCTTGTTGATTTTCACAGCTGGACAGCTGCTAATATGTAAAGTGCTTTTTATTCTAGCATTTAGAGTATTTGGATCTAACGGAAGATGTGCACACAACCGAGCGCAATGGCGTTCTAGGATTCATACAGCCGACCCCATTTAGTGGGCAAAGGCATTGTTGTTGTTGTTGTATTAGTAGCACTTAGGTTGGCTCATATGTTCTTTCACAGAAAAAAGGAGAAGCTTTTATGTTATTAAAACAGTGCAAATATTGATATGTTGCTACCTAATGGTGGCTGAACCTAAGAATGTTATGAATCTAAAAATGGTTGAATCTGAATGGCTGTATGAGATGTATACATTTAAACTTCTGTCTATTTTTCTGTCTATTTCAGTTACCGAGGTGGGGTTGACAGTGAGGGTCGTCCTGTAATGGTGGTTGTGGGGGCACATTTTCTTTTGCGATGTCTTGACCTAGAACGATTTGTACACTATGTTGTTAAGGTAGTACATCATTAAAGTTGGGGTTAATCTGCATATGCTGTAGAGACTGTATCTTTGCTAGTTATGTTGTTGACGACATATATATCTAATCTTGTTTATTGGTTTGCAGGAGTTTGAACCCATAATACAAAAGCCTTATACTATTGTATACTTCCATTCTGCGGCATCTTTACAGCTGTAAGTTGTTCGCAGTTGAGTTTCAGAAAATGAAAAATTGAAAACAATTCTAGGTTCATAAGGTTTTTCATGTTATTTTATACTCACTCCATGTGACGGTTCAGTTTCTATGAAAGATGAAAAAAGAAATTTTGAACTCTCACAAGGACTGGCAAACTAACGTAGATTGAAGTAATTTCTTTGGTGGAATTTTAATTTCTGCTTATGAATACAAGTTATGATCAGTACCTTAATAGCGTATATTGGTAGCAAGTCGCTGTAACTAATTGAGTTCCCTTTCGTGCATGTATTGCAGCCAGCCAGACATGGGGTGGATGAGAAGGGTACAACAGATACTTGGTCGTAAACACCAACGTAATCTGCATGTAGGTATCACTTCGTTTGTCCATATACGTTAGCAATTGTGTCTGCGTCTCTAATCTTTATCTTCTTTACATAGGCAATATACGTCCTTCACCCAACATTTGGACTGAAGGCTGCAATATTTGCCCTGCAACTGTTCGTGGACAATGTGGTATGCCTAATTTTATCTGCGATTTCTTGTTTATCAAGACTTCACATCATTTAAAAAGTCTGCTGTAAGTGAATGTTATTCTAACTTTTGTTTTTAGGTCTGGAAGAAAGTGGTATATGTAGATAGATTACTGCAGCTCTTTCGATATGTTCCTCGTGAGCAGTTGACCATCCCCGACTTTGTGTTCCAGTTGAGTTTCTTTGTTCCTTTCCACCATCATGATTTCTATAGCAACCTGCATTTAAAAACACTAGTATGCAATGATTGTATTAGAAGGTAAACAGATGATTGATTCTGATGGTTTTTGTGACCGTGATCAATGCAGGCACGATCTGGAAGTGAACGGTGGGAAGGGTCTCATCGTGGACCCGAGAACAAAGTACGTGTATCATCGACCGTAGCATTGCGAGTACACGGTTCCATGAGGCAACGAAGGAGGTCCATGGCTTGTGATTTCTTGATTCTATTTTCTTTTCCTACATCTTATAGGTAGATGGGAGTTGAATTTGCCGGTTACTTGTGTAGAAAAATATATCCTTTCTTTTCCTGGAAAGTTGTTTTTGAAGCAAATATTGTTTGTAACTAAAGATGGAAATTAATTATAAATATTCTTTCTTGAATTGTCTTGGATGAATTATCAATAAAATGTAAAGGTAGTTAGAGCTATAAACCAGGAAATCTACAATCAAAACGAACATCGTTCTGGCTACATTCCAATTCACTCTAATATATTTTTTTAATTTATTAATTTTACTCTTTTTCAACTTTAATACTTAAAATTCATTACACTAAGATCTTCTGTTTATCCACTTTTTGTTTTTGTCTATTTTTATGGACTGTGGTACGCTGGTGAATCGCACGATGGAGTTAGGAGGAGGCTGACAAAGCCACTAGCTGATCCTTTAAAAAAAAATTACGACGATAAAAAGTCAAAGAAATAAAATAAAGTCTAACTTTCTTTCACCTTCAAGAATTTGAATCATTTTTGTTAATTTTTCTTTTATATCTTTTACCACTACAACAAACTATCATATTCATGTTCCTCAAAATATATTTTTCTGTGTGTGGAGCTCAACTCATTTTCTAAGCACCCGGGAGTTCACCTCGTTCTACATGCACCGAGCCTACCTCGTCTTGACTGCCTGGGTTTGTCTCGTTCTGCATGTGAGGTGTCCACATCATTTTGCGAGCCAAAAGCTCGCACCTTTTTGTGTCCATAGAGCCCGCGTCGTTTTGGCGTGCACGAAGCCAACCTTGTTTTTTGTTCGTAGGGCTGCCCTCGATTTGTGCAACATATCCCACCTCGATTTTTGTGCACGAAGCTCGACTTGTTTTACGTGCAAGAAGCCCGCCCCATTCTATGTGAGCGAAATCTGCCTTGTTTTGTGTGCCATGATTTGTCTCGTTTTAGATGATCTGAGTCTGCTTTGTTTTGTGTGCCATGATTTGCCTTGTTTTGCGTGCGTCGAGCCCGCTAAAACTATGAATGTTGATCTCTCGAAATATTTTCTGACAGTTAGAAAATACATTTTGCCAGGCTGAATGACTTCACACATCCAACAGATTTTGTTTGATTTCATACATGGTTCACAATTATAAAAAATAGTATCAGTTAAGAAATGTATTTAGATTTTTGTCCCTCAGCCATCCAAGTCTACCGGTTACGCTTGTCAGATTATGTTTTAGAGAAACACCGTTCATATCCTAATCCACGACGCACCCGATAAAATCCCAGTGCTACTCAGCTTGAAACCGTTCCGGTTCCACACTCTCACCATTTTCTGCAAATTAATTTTCATAAAACTCTTGAAGACGAAGACGAACCGAAAAACCAGGCAGCCAGAGTATGCTTCTTCTCTGCTTTCTCCGGCCACTCTCCGGTGAGCAAGTAAACACTCAAGCTAATCGATTTGGTTTGCTTTTCGGATTGCTCTGCTAAAATTTAGAACACAATTAGGGAGTATTTAATGTGATAATTTAGAAAGATAAGATTTTGATAGGAGTTTTCAAGCGGGTTTATGTGAATTTCAACTGTGTTTATGTGATTATTTTTACTTTCCCATTTTTTCACACCTGGAAGTCTATGAAGCATGGATACGGATACGGATACGGCGATACGATACGACACGACACGGCGATACGGAAAATCTCCAAAAATTAAGATACGATACGCTAAGGATACGGCAAATAAAAATGTATATAGCTACAAGAATATACATTTTAAAACATAATTCATCATTCAAATTCAAGTACATTTGAGTTGTTAGAGAAGGAAAATTCGAAATCTAATCCTCTTTATACAGTAGAAGAAGTGTGAGAATCGTATTCATGGTTTTAATTAGAGGGAAGCTCAGTTGAATATCAGAGTGCGCAACGAACAAGACTAACAAGAATAATAAGAATATTATTAAACAAACTGAGAATGCCAGAACGGCTACAAAACACTAAGAGACTACATTGTGAATAACTTATTTTCTCTGAATAACAAAGCTCTCTATTTATAATAAACTAACCCTAGTCCCTAATAAGCAAGGAAACAAAAACCTAATTCTAATGGGCAAGAAACTCTAATATCCTTGGCCCACAAGAAAACCATAAACAATAATAAAATAATAATTAATTTTTCAACAAGCTCTTTGTATTTAGCAGCTTTCAATTATAGATGTCTCCTATTAATTTTCTCTTCCTCATTACTTTTTTTTGAAAGTGTAAATGTATCTTAAAAGCAGGATATGTATCCTAAATGTAGGATACGCATATCTATCATGTCAAATTCGTGTCCATCAACCAGGATACGTGTCGGACGAGTATCCGAGAGTATCGGGCAAGTATCGTATCCGATCAAGTATCGGATACGGGATACGGGACCAAACAGAAGTATCCGTGCATCATAGCTGGAAGTTGATATCTTGCCGTTGTTTTTGTACATATATGTCTTGGTTGGATGTTTATCTGCATGAATTGAAATGTAATGCGATTTACTGTGTGTATAGATGCTGATACTTCTACACACAAGTGTGGAAGAAGAACTGAGGAAGGGTAGTATTCTGTAAAGGGTATCGAGTTTGATCAGAAAAAAATGGTGCAAGGTCTGTCACTGAGCACTCTGACTGCGTTTCGCTATGGTGGGCTATGTGGGTCGATGCCTTCTTGGAGGAAGCAATTCAAACTAATGAGCAAAACCCCGATAAGTTCTGGTGTCGAAAGTTGTGGTATCTGGCATCTGGGCTGTCAAAGCTTATTTGTAAGAGGTAAAACCGATGTGGTAAGACAAAGGAATGTGAGGGTGGAAGCTGGGTGGCTGTTTTAAAGGGGGTGATCAGGGGTTGAATGCAAGCTCGGAGCGGAGCGAGAGTGCTAATGAGGATATTTTGATATTCTTTTTCCAGCTAGACCTGGCAACTCGAGTACAGGTTCGTTGGGGCTCATTTTATAGTTGAAATTTTGTATTAGGTGAAGTGGTATTGGTTTCTCTCGGTTTTGATATTCTGACTAGCATTTTCTTTTTGGGGATGCATTTGCAGTATGCTTTGAACACGGAACAGTATGATGTTGCACAACAACTAAGAAACAAGCTGACTGAGGTTAGATCTCTCTTCCAGATTATAATTTTTTTTTCTTTTAATCTAACAAAAATTGAGCTCGAATTACAAAAGGCAAAGAATACGAAGGAAGACCTTTTAGGCTTCTGCAGTGGATGCATAATTGCAAGTTTCTTGGCAGTATCTTGAGAAACAGAGCAATTGTTAATGCAGGTTTGGTGTTCCTAGCTTTTCTATGAGCCACAGTGACGAAACTTTGGATTACTTTAAAGTTTTAATAACATTACAAAAACCAAAAAGTGCTGTAACCAAGATCTATGGTAGGTTGTAGCTGATTTTTTCGTCTTTGAAAAGGACCGTTGGCATGTAATCTTTTGGTGTGCCCCATATCAATATGCATAAGCTTCCTGGTGAGTGGAGAAACAAATAATTGCGGCCTTCCCTAATTAAGTGTTCTTCTTGGAAGGTTGAAGCTGAGGTTATTAAGCAGCAGGAGGCAAAAAGGGGATCGTCTCCAAAGAGTGAAGCTCAAGATAAGGCGATAAGTATCATTCGCCTACGGTATGCCCCAAACCTTGCCATATTATCTAGTTAAGGGTTTAATTCAGTAAGAAAGGTGAAATTCTATGTTGCTCCTTTCTACTTTCTTTTGACTCGTAGATTCTTTTGGCATATGGGGTCAACTATACATTAAAGTATCCTGCTTTTCTGTCTTTTCTTACCGTGCGGACCTGCAGAATGCAATTGAGAGTGAGAATTATGCAGTGGCAGCCAAGCTACGAGATGCGATTTCTAAACTGGAGGCAGAGTCACTGGATGCATCTGCCAAAGCTTTGGCACATGAAAATGCTAATTATTCATTTCGTTTGGGACAGAGAGTGACCCATAAATTTTTTGGTTCGTTATATCCATGCCTTTTGCTGAAAATTTTNGGGTGTCGTCCGTACAAGAGAGAAGAGAGAGAGAGTTTGCGAGAGAGAGAGAGAGAGAGCACGGGGAGGAAGAGAGAGGGAGTGAGTGTGGTGTGTGTGTGGTCCACGTGGGTCACCAAGCCAAAACCACACAATAACCTCTAAGTCTCAATATGTCACACATACACACTACAATTTCCCCGTCCAAGGATAAAAACTGCCATTTTACATCACCGATAAATGAATTTCGGGACGGGCTGTGACAATATTTGCAAAGTATTCTTGGGTTACAAAAACTGTTTAGAAGATAGTATTCTTAGGTTATTTAACCCATAATGTAAAGTATTAACATAATATATATAATGAGCTACATTATATTATAATTAGCTATGTGAACCATGCACTATAGTCAATAGCATTGATCTAAGTTTTGTCCGATAGAGAATATAGTTTGTGTTAATTTTACATATATAAAATAAATGGCTAAACGGTTACCCGTTTATAACCGCAGTTAATACTCATAACCACCCATTTAAATTTCACGGGTAAACATAACCGTTTATTTATCTAAACGGTTACCCATAACCATAACTGTGAAGTTTAAATGGACGGGTAACCGCGCGTAATTTGCCCATCCCTAAATGCAACCATATAATGTCATGCTTAAATTGAAGCATGAGCAAACAGTTCAAGCTGCCAATCAATCACATATAATTAAGATTTGACCTTTCATCGGAGGGTCATCTACAAACTGTTAACTTGTAGCTAGATGATTAGGAGAGGATTTATAGGAAATTTCTTGGATTAAGAAACACGAAGAGACTAATTATATGCAGATGGAGGTTGTCAACTTTGGAAGAAACATAAATTAATCCATCGAGGAGATTGCCTTATAAGTACGCAACATTTAAATTATTTAATCAAATAATTAGCAGCATAAACCAAGGAATACGCAAACTTTAATTTTGCCCAAACTTTTGTTTGATTGCTAACAAACAAAGGAAGAAAGAGATATAAGTACTTCGTTTAGTTATCATATAATTAAAAGGAAAAACTAATGAAAAATACTTCAAATCTTTATATTTTAATCAAAAACCATATATTAATTTTATTTAATAATAAGGATAAAATAATAATTAAAAAAAAAAAACAACTGAGAGTCGCCGG